GAAAGTGTTCTTGTGCGTAGTATGGGATTTGTGCCATATTAACGAACAATAATCGCTGAGATGTAGCTGCTCTAGTATTAAAGCTTTGAGAAGCACTGAACCAAAGAGATTCAATGAATTCAATGAAACGAAGAAGCAACCATCTTCAACAACTGTGATTATCTATATTTGCGCATATCGTTTGTCAAATACTAACCGCTCTGCTCGTATAATCAGCCTTATTGTCCTTCCTTTCAGCAACTACTACTCATTTTTCGTTTCTCAGAATGCATAATGGCTAAAGAGAGGTGGAATTATCAATTTTTCTTGATTCTCTGATCAATGTATCTCTTGTAGGTAGATAGACAGTTGATGATTTGATTGTTTTATTTATACATACATGATTATATCCGAAAAGTGTCCTCAAAATTATCGTTTCATTCATTCGATTGAAATGTTGATCGATTGTCAAATCCCAACTGAGCTGTTGTCGAATTGGTTACGATAAGCGAGCTTATCGGTAAAATTTGACAGCGAACAAAAATCCATCAGTGAGGATCGTTTATTCGGAGCAAATTTTAGTTAGCATTATTCAAGTGATTGATACTTTCTGTCGAAAATTTGAATCGATATAGAAGGTTTCTGGTCAAGGTAGTTTTCCCATTTGAGCATCATTTAGGCGATTCAGCGAAAGAGTATCTCATTGAGGAATTTTTCGAACGCATTTCTTGATAGAATTTGCGTTGGGTGGATTGATGTGTAGGAGTGAATGAAATATGAATGTCGTCGAATCAGATCAACAAAATTGATTTTCAAAAAAAAAAAGTCAAAGTGTAGCTGATGATGATGATCAATGGGAAGGGATAATGAAAGGTGCAGATGGAACAGGTGGAAATGAAGACGTTCTTGTTGCAGCACCTCTCTTCATCGTCTTCGGCGAACATTTCGTCGTTGCACCATCACGGACATAATCAGTTCCCATTATCGCAAAGCCAACAAACACAACAACTCTCCGCAACACACCATACACAACTGCATCATGGACTGTCCGCATCCACAGCGATCACATCGCATCACACACATATTCCGAGCATTAATTCATCATCGCCACTTCTTACGTCTGCTGCTGCGGCTGCTGCTGCTGCTGCAGCCCTTCAGCAGCAGCAACACAGGAATACATCTCCATCGATTTCCGGACCGATCAGTGGAACTTCAGCCGCAGCAGCAGCAGC